CGCAGCTCGCTTTTATTTTTCCCTGTCTTGCCATCTCTTAAAGAGTTTGCTATTCAGTGGAATAAGGCAGAGGAAGGGGCAGGCCAGCACGGGCGACTGAGGACACCCGGGCTAATTGCCCGCGCACGCAGGGAGCGGGTGCACGGCCCCAGCACAGGGCCACGCTGCCGCCTTTCAATGCAGTCAGTCCAGAAAGCAGCAGTGCAAGTCTTTGCTCTAAAACCCAGCCCAAGTCTGCGCTCTCGGGAGCGCATTGGGTTTGTGATGCTTCTTTATAATAAGCCACAGCTGCTTCTGATTTTTACCAGACCTTATGCCCTTGCAGCTGCTTCGCTGACCCAGTAGTTTGGGAACAGTGGTTCTGTCGGCACGCTTAGGTAGGGGTTCAAGCTCTAACCTAACAATATTTGGGAAGTAAGCAGTGCCCTTTGTTACTGTCCCGTGCCAACGAGAATATCAGATGCAGTATTTGTGAGGCTGGTGTGTCGCTGTAGCATTGCAACAAAAAGTTAGCTTGCAGCTGCCCGGCGCTTTAAGGACATGGTGGGGCTTTAGTTCTGAAACGCAAAGACATCTCAGCTGATGATGCCTGAGGATTTTTCTTTAAGGAAATGTCTTCTGTTTAAGACATCCATCAGGACAATTTTAAATATCCAAAATGGGGGAGGGGAGAAGAGCATGAGCTGACATAGTGTCCTAGCCACTTCTTTCTGAAACCTGGATTTGCACAACCCTCAGAAGATTGCCACAAAAAAGAGTTTGAGCTCCAGTCCTTTCCATGGCTTTTCAGGTGTGCGTTGCAGAAGGGCAGCAGGTCTTGTAACCGCATAAGCAGTGTCCTGCCTTGGGGGGGAGCCTTAAAAATTAACAGAATCCTGAAGTTCTTCAGGAAATCTTATAGCATGCTTGTTGGGATCAGGCTCCCTGCTGCACCCATTTTACATGCACGTTTTACACTGGTGGAAGGTTTGTGGTGTGAAGGAGTTCTTGGTCAGTTCTTCAGCCCCAAGAAGGTTAAGGGAAGCCTGGAAGAAAAGGAGGGACCTGAGGTGGACCTCAGGCAGGTGGTTCAGCGTTTCTGTAGCTCCCGTTAGTGTAATTGATAGTATCCTGCTCTCCAGAACACCCCTCAGAATACCTGTAGTTCACAAGCAAAGCTTCTCCTTCTCGTTCTCCCCAGTGAAAGAATAATTTTGATTTGGTTTGTTTCAGAGCTGGAAAAGGAGATCACCAGGAGACCGAAGAAAGTCTGCATTGTTAAAGTGGTGGGAACAAGGAACCTGTGGAAAAACATCGTGGTATTGTGTGTGAACTCGTAAGTCTGATCTCCTTCTGTTTGAATAGTTGCGTAGTTGGTGAACTGGAAGCAGTAATAGGAAATGATGGGAGAGCTCTTCCATTTCCTAGTGTGGGACCCTTTGCTAATGTCTCTGATAAATGACCCTGGAAAAACATCAGGTGTTGCAGGGAATTATTTTTTTATGGGGAACAGGGGGGAACTCATCGGCTGTTTCAGGCAGCAGCACCACATCCCTTCTCGGGTGCCGTGCTGCAAGTGCCTTGCTGTCGCCAGTGGTCTCGCACGGCCACGTGCTGGTACACGTGCATGGGTGCAGACACCTGCTGCTGGCATCCCGGGTGGGATTTTTGAAATCATTAATGCCCCAGGAATGCAAGTTCAAGTTGTTTACATCTGATATAGCTGTGCTGTGGAGGAAGAGGCTTCTTGATGGTAAATACAAGCCTCTGCTCCCTTGTATAACAGCTGTCCTTGATAGGTCTTCAAAAGCAGATTACAAAGTGCTTCAGCACTCCCAAATCATGTACAGGGCACACAAGGAGAATGTGCGGGCTTGCACAGACCAACGTGATGCCTGCGTCCTAAAGCTTTGGCTTGGACACGCTTACCTGAGCAAAACCAGGCACCTGCCCGAGGGCTTTACAGGTTACAGGCTCTGAGACCTTCTGTCCAGAGCTGAGCACCTTGTAAAGAGGAAATAGATGGGCTGCAAATTTAACCTCTAAGCAAACCCAGCCTCTGGGAGGGCAGTGGATTTTTCTAATTTTTCAGTGTTATAAAATGCCCATTTGAATTCCTTTTGTGATTTTTTTTTTCCCCTTTTTTTTTTTTTCCCGAATGAGAGGTGGGGAGAAGACTGGAAACCCTGCATCCTCTGCTCTGTTTAGAAGTATGTAGCACTCCTGTGGCTTTTTCTTCATCACTTCAGAGCTCTATTCTGTAGCCTTCACTCCCGTTAACAGGCTCATAACCCAGAGGGGACAGCCCCTGGGCCGGGCACACAGACACCCAGAGACACACGGACTTCAGGGGTCAGTCTCCAGCATTACTGGTTGGAGAACCAACTCTGGTTTTATGGGGTTTGTGTCTTTCTCCCACCTACCAGTGGGTGACTTCCTCTGTTCTGAAACAGCGTTTTCCTTTTAGGCTAAGCTGGTGGATTTAATAGCCAGCGTTAACTGTATTCATGAAAAATGTTTGCATGGGGAATTCTCCCCTTCTCCCTCACCCTTTTTAATTACACATATTTGGAAATTCCCTAAACCAGAACTAGGCAGCCCAAAGAATAACTTCTGGCAATAGCACACAGAGGCTGTTTGCCATCCAAGTAGAGCATGAAGCAGATGCGTGTTTGAGGAAATAGCTTTCATGTTTGTTTTTAGGGGGTGGGGAAAAAAAAACCTATTTAATTTTAATTCTGTTATTCCTGTTAGATGGGACTGTGCTAAATTTTAGTAGTGTGGAACATGGAGAAGGAACCTTTTGCAGGGAATGATAAGACATCAAGGGAGATAAATTTATTTAGTTTTAAAAGCAACTGTTGTGAGCTGCTCAGCAAGTTAAGACAATAGAATAATTCCTGGGGAAGCAGGCTGAAAAGTAGAATCCAAATGATACATTGATTTAGTTTATAGGTTATGGCCTAAATAACTCCAGCAAGTGTGTTTGCATGCGCAGAAGAGAGAGAAGATACACACTGGTTAACTCTGCCTTTTTATTAATATTGTTTTGCTGATTAATATTTCTCTTATGGGAGGAGACAGTTATAATCTAGATATCCAAAGCAAATGACATTCCTGTGCAACAGCAAGTACTTGTGCTAAGTTTTTATCGGGGGGAAGGTGTTTGGTACTGGGGGTGTATTTTTTAACTCTAGCATTGATTCACAAGATCGCAAGAGAAATTCCCCAGGCCCTGGGCTGCCACGCCCTCAGCGATTGCATATTCCCTCAACTGTTTCTGTGCTTAAATTAATATCCAGTTTACACTGACAGAGCTTCAAATTCCTGACCTTTAGGAGGATAGAGGTGCATCAGTGTAACGTACCTGCCATTCATTTTTTGGAGACCTGGATCTGTGCCTGCCGCTCTGTCAGGCACAATTAATTTGTGATCTGAGGTTTGTCTGGTCTAAATGCCAGGGCCAGGAGGCCCTTCCCAGCAGGGGTATTTGTGCTGTGATGGGGGCAACTAGGAGCATTGACCTCCCGTAGCAGCTCTGCTCCAGTTTTGCACCATGTCAGGTATGATGGGGCTTCTTATCTGACTTCTGTACGTCAGGGATGATGGGGCTTCTTGTCTGACTTCTGTACCTCCAGGCCCCTCCCCCCTCCTTCCTTTTTCCTCCCCCCTCCTTCCTTTTTCCTCCCCCCTCCATCTTTTTCTTTTTTTGGGGGGGCAGGGTGGGACAGGAGAAAGAGGAGTGAAACGGAGTGGCAAGATGTCGATCACTGGCACGATGAAGAAATTTCTAAAAGAAGGGGAGACACATGGCTGAAAGGTGGTATAAATGTGTAGATCAACTTAGGGCTTATTGTTTCATGATTGTAATGATCACTGCAGCACATGTGACATCAAATACTCATTTCTAAGGGGTTTTCAGTTGTAACAGGCTAGCTTGGGAAGTGAGATGCAATCTTTAGCATGACCAAATGCCGCAGGCAGGTGAGTCTTCTTGGAGGACACAACTGTATCGCACCGTGTTTTGCTGTCCAAGAACAGAGGCTGCTTCTTCACAGCAGCCCTGGCTCTGTGGCTGTTGGTGGATGCGCTGGGAACAGAGAGATGTCCTCCTCGACATAGGGGGTTCTGGAATGCACCAGGAAAACCAATCTGACACTAGGAGTCCTTGTGAAGTTGTTCATACCCCGATCGTACCATGAGCAACAGCTATATGAACAAAGCCAGTAGACTGCGAATGTCTGGATGAATAGAGGTTTTTCTTTTGCTTCTTTTGATCCTTGCTTATTTCTACAGTACCACCTAGAAGCCCGAGATGAGTCTTTTTGCACTAGGTGGTGTATTCCTGCAGCGGAGGAAATTCTTCCTGCATTAATGTGTTCCCATATTGGATGACGTTGCAGTGCGTGGCTGCCTTCTCAGCAATGATGCCCTCTTGCCCTCTCCCGTTTCCCCTAGGCTGACTGGTTATGGCATACACCACTGTTTTGCGAAAAGCATGATGGGGCACGAAGCGAAGATGGCCATTACCCACAACTTCTATGCGGACTACTACACCATGGCCGGGATTGCGCTGGCATCCTGCCTGGCCATGTGCCCGGTGGTCGGGTTTCTGGGGAGGAGAGGAGGACTCCTGCTTTTCATGATCCTTACAGCCCTGGCATCGCTTCTGCAGCTGGGCCTTCTCAACTGTAAGTTGGAGACGAGAGCTTTTCGGGACCACACTAGTTTGGCACGTGAATAAGAGACCGGGAAACATTAGCATTTCCTTTGCCTTTCTCAGATTTGACATGTGCCGCACACCTGCTTAGTTTAAGAAGCTGAATTTGTATGAAGGATTCCCCGAACACTTGTTGTCTTAGGTTCATTAACAAAAGCCATTGTGTACTGGATGAGTCCCTGTGGTGAAGCTCATTGAGCATTGGTGCTGCTTCCAGGGCTGTCACTTAAAAACAAACAAACAAAAAACCAATGCTTTTAATTTTATTTCAGTGAAATAGCCTCTGGGAGAGAGAGCTGAGCAGGGATTGGGAAGGGAAAACTTTCCCACTTGACTCTGGTTCTCAAACGGCCTCTAAACCAAACAGAAGTTAAAGCGGTAGGTGTATGTCCTCTGCCTGCTCTGAGCATCTTGCTACGTGCAAGTAATATAGAGGTAGCATGGAAATATGCAGCTGAAAGGCCCTACTTTTCTAACAGGGTGTGTATGTATAGGCCACGTGAACGTATACACATGATTTTGTGAGGTGACACAGCTTCTCAGATGGATTGTTCCTGCCAAAAGCAAGAGTGTCCCTCCTTCCCCTTTGCAGGCTGTGACCTTTCTCTGGCACTTTTGAGCTGCTTCAGCTATTAAAACTGCTACAGTTTCTTTTTTTTATTTTATTTCCTTGACTTAATTTTCTGTTGGTTGAGGAAGTTGAACTTGATGGATCAGAGAGGTGTTGAAGGAAGGTGGGATGTGCTTTGCCACTCTCATAGTTGCCAGCCCTTAGACCCGTGACCCATGAAACCTCACCCAAGGAAGGGGGAAGTGGGCTGAGACATGCTTTGGACAAACTGGATATGGGACGAACACCAGATCACTGGTTGTTGCTGTTTTTCATTTCTAAGTTTAGAAATAATTAAGGGCTTTAATGTGAAAGAGTATTTTGCATTGAGGATGGAAAGATTTCACATTCCGGCATGCTGAAGGCAGCCAGCCCCAAGCCAGCAAGAATTGTCCATATTTACAGAACGTGTTTCCTGAAAGCACTTACTAACTTAACCTTTAGAGAACACGCTATTTGTGGGAGGGTAGGAGGGAAACAGGGAACCTCTTTCATGACATGGAGGAAACTCCAAAATCATGTGTGTTTGCTCCCAGCTTGGCACAGGTGTTTACATTCCCTTTGAGCACATGTTTACCATGTCCAGCAGTCCCAGCTGAGAGTGGGAGAAGCCCCCTGGCCCCACCTCATCCCCAGCCCGTCCACAGACTGTGACCATTCACATGCAGATGCACGCCGTGCGTGTGTGCGACCTCCCAAAACTCCATGTTCCTGTGGTGGTGTCCGTGGGGGTCTCTCTACACTAGATCACTAGATTCATCTCGTTTTGTTTTTTTTTAAGGATATCAGATGTTTGTTGAGGCTGTTGAGGTAATAAACGTGCAATTGCTTAGTGGAGAAGAAGTGTGCCAGAGCCATTAGTCTGCTCCAGACCCGTGAAAATCCAGTTGCAGTTTTTCAACAATAAAAAAGGTGTGAGGAAGGTAGGAAGGAATACCCTGTAGGAATCATTACAACCTTCTCCATAATGGGTTTAGGTGGTTTCGTGAGCAAAGTTGCTAAAACTAAGAGCAGCCACCTAGACTTCTCTCAGTGCCATGCAGCCATCAGCCTTCCCCACTCTGCCCTCACCCCTTAATTTGTGAGAAGAGGAGGGAAAGTCATCCTCGTCTCCTCCTGCTCTACACCATGCCCCCCTTCTTCCTCAGAAGAGCTAGACCTAGACACCGTTTGGGGAGAAGCGGTGACCCTGCCAATAATGAAATCTCTTTCAACCTCCTGCATGTTTTAGCTTAGGTAATTTGGGTGTAATTAGCAAATTAAATCAGAATTTGAGGAGGAAAGTGAGAGAAGGAGAGGAGTATTCTCCAGCAGCAGCAAACCTGTGGCAGACCTTGAGGCTTGCCGTGTTCAACCCTTCCTCTGGACCCCGGGGTGTCGTCTGGGATGTCGCAGGAGCCTGGTGGGAGATCACCAGCAGAGCTGCGCCCAGCTCATGCTGCTGCCCTTCCCCTTGCTGCTCAGTGCTTCCTGGTGCTCCTTTGCCATTAGGGCGCGCGGCAGCTGGTGGCTAGCGTGGCACATGGACCACTAGCTCAGGGTTTTGGCCACAATAGGTCTCCCACCACTGCAATGGTGCTGATGCCCAGAGTTCCACTCTCTAACTAAAGTTTCTGTTGGCCATTCCATCCGGGCTGCAGCACCAGGGCAGTTTCTCTTCTCCCCCTTCGTTAACAACAAAGAGGCCTTTGTGTTAATCCCAGTGGTAATTCTGGGGCTCTTAAAAATGCTTTACTGCTGCGTTCGTTATCGCTCTCTCATTAGCATGCTGTCCTCCAGCTGAAAGGGGCCTGGAAATGGCACGTCCTGTCTGGTGGCCATGGGAAGATGTGCCAGTCGCGGCATGAGAAAGGGGAATTGTATAGGGGGCTAGGAGGGCATGTGGAATTTACCTTTTTTTTTATTTATTTTTCCTTTTCCTTTGGATAAAGAAATATGTAACAACAGTATGTTCTTGTTTTCTCTCCCTTTCTCTCTTATTTTTATCCTACTCTAACTTCCGTGGTCTTGGATCCAGTGATCGGAAAATACAGTCAACTTCCAGACTCAGGTATGGTTTACAGACGAGTCTGCATCGTGCAGGAAGAGCTCCCCTGGGAGCAGGTAGATCCAAAAAGCTGGGGCCAAAGCACCCAGAGCAGAGCTGCGGCCGCAGAGGGGTGCAGGGGGAAAGCCCACTTCTACACGGTGCCTTGGGACCCCGCTCATAGGCAGGCCTGGTTGTTTATACACAGCCCCTTGGTGTAGCATCCCCTCCACATAGTCTGACTCAACCTCTGCATATCAAGAGAGGGTGCAGAGGTCCCCCAAGATTTATTTTTAGATTTTGGGGCAAGGCTTTCTCAGAAAGCCTCCCTCTCAGAAGCAACATTCCCAGTTCGGTCTTTTCCAGAAAGATCTGAGACGCCCAAGTCCCTTCTGATAAGGGGACTTAGGCACCTTAGAAAATACTTCCCTGGGCACCTTATCGCAGCCTGAAGTACTGTAATAGCAATGCAGTGCCAGGCTACAGGGGAACAAAATTTACCCTCCTGTATTTGATTAATGGACCTGTCCTTGTCCGGCTTTTCCAAGGTCTGTTCTGCTGAGCAGTCGCGACTCCCTGCTGGCAGTATTTGCTCTCTCCCCCAGGCTTGGGGTGCCTTGCAGAAGAAAGGGCTTAGCCCTGAGCAGGCTGTAGCGTGTTTTGGAAGCTGTAACCTAAGAGCTCCCAATAGCTTTTGCTCTCCTGAGAGCTGATGTGTTCAGCAAGAACAAAAGCAGGCGTTACTTTTTGTTGGATCCAAGCAAGAAAGTGCACCTGCCTGGGACTGCGCACTGATGAGCAGCCCTTTCTCTGGGTAGATCGTGGGACTTAGCTGGAGGAAAGTGGGGAGCGTTGGCTGCAAAGCTCCAGTCCTTTCCCCAGCGCTCCCATTAGGCACAACGTGTCCCCCACGTATGGTGCAGGATCCTCTGCAACCAACTTGGCCTCCTCGCCGGCCGGGACAGAGCACGTGAGCTTGTACAACCCTGGGTCAGATATCCCACCCCTGCCCGCGGAAGGTGGCAAGCGGAGGTCACATGAGGGATGTATTGTCATCATGGCCATCAGACAGTTTTCTTTAGCTTTGTTTAGATTTACTGGGGTTTCTCCCCCCCCCCCCAGCCACGAAATGACTGAGCAAACAGCCTTGCTGGACACGGTGAATAGGGGAGTGCTTCACCGTCCTTAGCACCGGCTTACTCTCGCCCAGAGTTGTCAGGCAAAGGCTGTCGAGCCGGGGGGTTATGGCAGAGTTTGCAGACCCATTGCATGCAGGGTCTTAGCACGGAGATGGGAGCACTTTTGTTTCTTTCCCCTCTTGTCCCGCGAGCCTCTCCAGTGCCTGAGCCAGCCGAGCTGTGCCAGATGTGTGGCAGCTTGATGAACGCTGCCTGCCTCCGCTTGTCTGTCAAACGTGGGAGGGAAGTGGCTGGTGCCTAAAAGACTGCCCAAGGATGTGTTTTTTCTTGGGTTTTACCTTTTTGTGGTGGCTGGGCATAAATAATTCAGAAATCGCTGCCATTTTTGGCATGACGTTATGATTTTTTTCCACGTATGTTTGTGTCTTGGGTGCTTGGGGAATGGATTTTATAAATACCAGTTTTAAATTAGTATTACAGAAATGACTCAAGTTCTTGTCTAGGGAGAATGAGTAACATAAGCCTGTTTTCTTGTTTTCTTCCTTGGAAGTTTGGCCTCATTCTGACTTTTTATGAACACACTTGTCTTGACAGGTATGAGTGACAGCGTCAAAGACAAATTTTCTACCGCATTTTCCATTGTGGGTATGTTTTCTTCGCATGCCGTTGGAAGCCTCAGTGTGTTCTTCTGTGCTGAAATCACACCCACAGTAATCAGGTGAGACGTTGGAGCCCCCCTCTTCAAAGGATGGGGACAAAATGATCCTCATTTAATTGATAACTGGCTGTGTAACTTAACGCTTTGTACAGGAGGGGAAATCCCCCATAACTGGAGACCTCGCAGCAATTTTTGGGTCGCTCTTTCATTTAATGTCGCTGCAGTCAGCCTGCTTAAGTAAATGCCTGTCTGTAGAGAGAGGCTTTGTTTCCGATGGCTCCACCTTGTGTCCCATCGTGGGGATTATTAGTGGGCCAGGCATCGTATGGATGGCGTTTGTTTGCAGTGCGGTACGGTCTTCAGAGCTGAGATGAACCGGATCGTGCGGCTGAACCGTGTTATTGCTTCGCTTGCGCAGCTGGTTTTGTGCAAGCGATGGCCACGTGAGCCTACGGCTTGATATTAAAAGAGAAATTCCACGGGTGTGCAGAGGAGGACATAGGTGCAGGCAATCCCTGCCTCCATAGGGCAGGTTAATCAGGCCACCTCTAGGGGTGCTTTGGCGGAAAGGAGGTGTTGCAACATGTGGTGTTAAATGCTTTTGGTGCGTATAGGTAGGTGCTCTGCAGGTCTGCCACTCCTACAGCAGCACCAGTGTGAGTGGGCCGCCTTTATTGCAGGCAAAGTCATCTTTCTCTTTGCACCCAGATCTGTCTTAGCAGAGGCTCAAAGTTTTTCTGAAGAGGAGCACTTTCATCCTGGGCAATAGCAGAAATCAGGCAGGTGATCTTCGCTGGAGAGCTTCCCATAAAATGTCTTTGTATAGTCAGGTTTTTCTACCGTTTTGTGTATTCATTGTTATCTTTCACAGCAGAAAGGTTGTGCTTTTGTGTTCTGGATTATGCTTTCAGCAATGCCACAGGGATTCAGGACTCTGCCCTGACTCCACTGAATTTCCCAGGAATGTAGGTCATACGGGTGGGAGGGAGGGAGTGTGGAGGGAAGAGGATGCTCTTTTTTTTTTTTTTTCTTTTTTTGCTCCAAGTTATACGCTTTTTCAATAACTTTGCAGAAGTGTTACGGCAAAACCGTCAGCTGAGTAGCCAGAGTCTCCTTGATCCATGGCCTTTTCTTCCAAGCTATCTGACTTTGTGAATGTATTTTGCAGATAACGTTATTTCCACAGGGAAAGGCAGAGTGAGTGGTGAGGAGATTATACAGCAGCCGGAAACACTAACAGCTATTTACTTATGTGCATGTCAGTCAGTTTGGTGGTTTTATGCCTCTTTAATTTTCTCCTTGTCTCTGTTTGAAAGACATATAGATAAGGAATTGGCCACGTCAACCAGAGGAGAATCTGCCAAGTAGGGTCAGATCCATGGTGTGAACTTAGCAAGCTTTTTTCCTTAAATCACTTACGTCGCTACAGGGAAGGGGACAAAATCCTGGCTGGGAGCCAGAATTCTGCTTCCCCTGATTCTGCTGGGTGACACCAGGAGAGTGACAATAGCTGGATGGGCCTCAGGGTCCCCAATCATTAATAGGGACGATGACACTCGGCAGCGCTTTGCAGTCCTACCACCATGAAGCCCTGGATAAGATCCACTCAGGGCTGCAATGGGGAGGGGGAGCTCGGGACGGTGCATAAACCTGTCCCAGGTAGAGGTGTGGTTAAGATGTCTTACATCTTGCATTTCGGTGGGACCTGGCTGCTCCCTTATAACCTGTTCTCCAAAATACTGCCTCGAATGCCCTTTAGTGCTTCAGACCATCTTAATAATATGCTTTTGGTTGAATTTCAAGGAACCTTAAGGAAAAGAGAGGCAGAGAGCACTGGGGCCGTCTCTGGGGTTTCCCTGATCAAATCCTTTACCTGTAATCCCTAAGTCTTATAAGTCTGATGAGGAGTGGCTGAGGGAACTGGGGTTGTTCAGCCTGGAGAAGAGGAGGCTCAGGGGGGACCTTATCCCCCTCTACAACTGCCTGACAGGAGGCTGTAGCCAGGTGGGGGTCGGCCTCTTCTCCCTGGTAATGGGCGATAGGATGAGGGGAAATGGCCTCAAGTTGCACCAGGGCAGGTTTAGTTTGGACATTAGGAAAAATTTCTTCACTGAGAGTGTTGTCAAGCATTGGAATGGGCTGCCCAGGGAAGTGGTCAAGTCCCCATCCCTGGAGGTATTTAAAAGACATGTGGACGAGGTGCTTAGGGACATGGTTTAGTGATGGGATGGCACTGTTAGGTTAATGGTTGGACTTGATGATCTTAAAGGTCTTTTCCAACCTAAACGATTCTGTGATCCCTGAGGGAGGAAAAGAGCACTGCCATTATCAGGGTAGCAGTGGCGTGACAGAGGAGCTGTAGCGCCCGTCCAGTGCTGCTTCTGTGGTGTTGAGAGGAATGGTTACAGCAGCATAGGAGGAAAACAGCCATCTTCATGGCCACGAGGTGCCACCTGCTCCAAAATCAGAAAGGTCCCACACTGTCAGGTGGCACAGAGGGGTCCTTCATACTCTTGCCCTGCACCCCGGTCTCCGGGTGCTAGGTAGGAGGGCTTCACCAGGAGCTTCACCCGTTCCTTATACCCAGGGGCTTCTGTACAGAGCTCCCTCCAAATGCTGAATTTAAGCACTAAGTGGCGCCGATAATCCATCTCTAGTACTCTTGATGGGAACACCACTGCAGTATGCAGGGCTACTAAATGGGAATAGGCTGAGGAGAGCATGGTGTGTCCTTTCCCCATCCTCTGCATGCTCAGTTACTACCAAATGGAAGAGAGGTCTGAGGTTTTTTTTTCTCTCTGCATCCTCATTTGCACCCGTGCAGCCAAAGAAATGAAGAGTGGGCAGCTATGGCCAAATTAGGAGCTTTACCCATCAATAGCTGTCTCAAGCCAAATTTCCAGTGGGGTACAGTGCTGTTTACTGGGACCTGAACCAGGGCTGGCTTCTTGAAGGTGGTGCCTTGCCCCATGAGGCTGAGTGCGTCCCAGCATGTTACCGAAGCTCTGGCCGAGGACTGAGCGCACAACAGGGCCGCTGATGTACGGGAAAGGCAGGGAAAATCCCTGGAGGTGAAGTGGCTGAGCTGACAGGACAAAGCCCTAAAAACCTGGTCTGAGTTCAGCGTTGGCCCCTCTTTGTGCAGGAGGCTGGAGTGGGTGCTCTCCCAAAGCCTCCTCCAGCCTGAGAAGCTCTCTGGCTCTTTTGTACTCTGAGCCATGCCACACATCGACCCGTTTGCTCGAGGCAGATGAGTGCCCATCCGAAGATAGGATGAACATTTCTCTGCTCCCCTGAGCAGTGCTGAGAAGGGCAAGTCCCCTTGCTTAGGTTTAACCTGGTTCAAGCACAGAGCATCAGTGAGGGTGTTTTGCTGCTTTCTGAAAAAACACTGCTGTAGCAAGCGAGGAAATTCTCCCCGTTGAACAGGGAGGCCTTTTCTGAGGACAAAATTTTGGACCAAGGTCCCTTTGCGATTTGTCCATCTCAGGACCGCAAGCCTCACGCAAACCACCCTGCCTCGCTGCCGTGGGGCGAGCAGGCGTCAGGGAAGCGGCTGTGATCACCCGTGGGGCCGTGCCGTGGGGAAGCCCCCCACAGCAGCCGCTGCCAGGCGGAGGTGCAAGGGGAGAAGCTGGGGCTCGCCGTGGGTGCCAGCAGCCCCATCACTCCCTCCCTCGGCTCCGCTCTGCAGACACCGGCCCCCTGCCATGGGAGACCTCGTAGTGGGGGGGAGAGGTGCCCCAAAACACCCCAATTGGTTTTGGTTTCCACCTGCTGCCCCGTGACGCCTGCAAAAACAGCGTGAATTATGAGGGTGCTGCCTCTCTTGGCCCGTGCCCATTTTCCTGATGTGCACATGAACAAAAAAAAAAATTCCCGACTGCATTTTCAGTTTTCCTTTTTTTTTTTTTTGCCATTTTCATGTTTGCAGTATAGTCTAACATGAAAAAACATCTTCCAGGAGGCATACCAAAATATATTTTCAAGGCTGCTTCTGCCCAGCTTTGATGGTGCTGGGTAAAGTAGCGCCTGTTCTAATTACTAACGTCATATGGAAAAACTCTTTTTTTCCCCCTCCAAATCTGAAGCCGCCTGACCCATCATGACAGAGCCATCTTTGTGGTTGCCTTTTCCTGTTTCCTTTCAGCTTGCTTGATGTCCTTCTACAGCGGCTTTTAAAACCCACCTCGGGTCCTTCTTGGGGGGGTTGAGATACAATTTAGCCGTAGCAAGCACTGATGTAAATGAGCCGGGCTTTTGTTGCTCCGGAGCCAGCTTGGAGAGTGATTTGCCATGCATTCGGGGCGGGTTGTGTCGGTTACTCATGTGAGTGTGTTAATGAAGTTGCAGGGAGGCCAACTGCACAATGGCCACATTCAGCCGGGTTTCTAAATTGCCGTCGGAAAGCTGGCAAGTTTTTAATAAGGGCTTTTGCAGTATTTGGGGAAATCACTGTTGTCTGTGAAAGATGCTCTGCTGAGTCTGGAGAATTAGGAAGGAACATACGTGAATTTTTGATCCAGTCAGTGTCCCAAGGGCATCTTTTGAAACCTGTGCTTGCTGCCCTTTAGCTATCAAGTAAGCAGCAGTGGATTTTGGAAAGGACCGGGTGAAGGTTAGCTTTAACACAGCGGTTGGCTGAATGAATTTGGCATTTGTAGGTGTATAGCGCTGTGATTTCTATGCTCAACAGCCAATGAAACTTTTATTTTCAAGTAGTTGATGTAAAGCCTCTCATTTGCCTTCTGCAGTTGTTTCCTGTAAGCCCACCTGATCATCAGAGGGTTTGGGAATAGATGGCATCTCCCGGAGGAGCCGCGTGCTGCCCGGGTGAGCTTGGTGAGGGAATGAGGAGCCAGAGTGCCAGCGACTAAGCTCGTGGGGAGACCTCCCTCTGCAGGCAGCAGGGTCTTCAGAAAATAAGGGACAAGCTGCTGCTCTCAGAGATTTTGCTGAAATGAGTCACTTGAGGGTGATGCTGGCCAGAGACCTCGGTCATGCTACGGCAGGAGGAGGGGATGGTCCACCCCAGAGAAATGCCTGCGGTGCCACTTCTATGCGGCATTTCTGCCATAAGGAATACTTTATAAAGTTGCCTAATTACAATTTAAGCATTTCACCAATGCTAACCTTTTCAGTGTTGATCTACTTGAGGGTAGGAAGGCTCTGCAGAGGTTCCTGGACAGGCTGGATCAATAGGCTGAGGTCAATTGTATGAGGTTCAACAAGGCCAAGTGCCGGGTTCTGCGCTTGGGTCACAACAACCCCATGCAATGCTACAGGCGTGGGGAAGAGTGGCTGGAAAGCTGCTCAGTGGAAATGGACCTGGGGGTGCTGGTTGACAGCCGGCTGAATATGAGCCAGCAGTGTGCCCAGGTGGCCATGAAGGCCAACAGCATCCTGGCTTTTATCAGGAATGGTGTGGCCAGCAGGAGCAGGGAAGTGATCGTGCCCCTGTACTTGGCACTGGTGAGGCTGCACCTGGAATACTGTGTTCAGTTTTGGGCCCCTCACTACAAGGAAGACGTTGCATTGCTGGAACATGTCCAGAGGAGAGCCACAAAGCTGGTGAGGAGTCCGGAACACAAGTCTGATGAGGAGTGGCTGAGGGAACTGGGGTTATTTAGCCTGGAGAAGAGGAGGCTGAGGGGAGACCTGATCACCCTCTACAACTGCTTGAAAGGGGGGTGTAGCGAGATGGGGGGCCGGTCTCTTCTCCCTGGTAACAAGTGATAGGACGAGAGGAAATGGCCTCATGTCCTTGAGTCCCCATCCCTGGAAGTATTTAAAAGATGGGTAGACAAGGTGCTTAGGGACATGGTTTAGTGGTGGGATGGCAGGGTTAGGTTAATGGCTGGACTTGATCTTAAAGGTGTTTTCCAACCTAAAAGATTCTATGATTCTAAGAGGAGCAAGAAAGAGTGAAGTAAGGGACCTACCTCAACTGGTACAGTGAATTACATGGTCTGTGAGATGAATCCCAACTCTTGTTCTCCTATTCTGACCACTAGCTATGTTATCTTTTTTCTTTTTTCTCTGAAAATTACACATTTTATTACAACATCAGTTGGTTGAGAGGTTCCAGCCACAACATGTTTTTATGGAGAAAGTATTTCAGCACTCAGTATTTGGTATAATGGATCGAGGCAGTGGTCTGTAAAGTCTGATCTCCTGCCTCTGCTGCTGATTGATGCCAGATACTTTAGACACAGCCAAAATTGACTTTTGCACCTCCTGCTTCTTGGTGTGTCCTGTCTAAGCTGGAGAAGGCTGGCGTACTAACCAAAATCTGGTTTTCCCTCACTGAATATGGGAATGCTTGGAAATGGGAATACTTTCAAGGGCTGTCTGCACGTTCACATGATAAAGCTCCTCTTCTCCGTATATGGGGGCAGTTATATGGGTGTGAAAAGATACTTATGTGAGTATGGTTACTTCCCCACACTGAGGCAAATAGGCAGCAGTGACCTTCAACAGCAAAGCAACTCTCTCCTGGAGTAACTGCGCAGTACGAGAGCTGTGAGCAAACCAGGTTTGCCTTTAGAGATTTCGGATGCCCAGGTGTGTGCCAGACAGGGGCGTAGTCTGGGGGACCCGTCCGGGCTGTGGGCTCCCCTGCCCCGGTGCCGATGGGGCTGCGCGGGCAGGAGCGGGCTGCGGGGCCGGGCTCTCACCTCTGTTGTGTTCGCAGGGGAGGAGGGCTGGGGCTGGTCCTGGCCAGCGCGGGCTTCGGCCGCCTGACTGCCCCCATCATGGAGCTCCACAACCAGAAAGGCTACTTCCTCCACCACGTCATCTTCGCCTGCTGTACGCTCATCTGCATCATCTGCATCCTGCTGCTGCCGGAAAGCAAGAACCAGAACCTGCCCGAGAACATCCCGGATGGGGAACATTACACCCGGCAGCCCCTCCTGCCGCACAAGAAGGGGGAGCAGCCCCTGCTCCTGACAAACTCTGAACTCAAGGATTACTCCGGCCTCCACGACTCGGCAGCTGTGAGTGACGGGATCTCGGAGAACACCACTGCCAACGGGATGAAGTCAATGTAACCGGGTGGGGTTTTTTTTCCTTCTTTTTTTTGTTTGGTTTTTTTTTTTTTTCCTTCTCCTCTTTCTTTTGTATTTTATTTGATGCTGTTGTGCAGGAGGAGCAGCACTTTGGGCAAAGGTGTTTTGCACAGATTTTACAAACCAGTGATGGAGCAGACACAGACTTGGGGGAATTCAACTCTGCTGCTAAAGCAACTTCAACTGTTGTGCAGATTGCTCTTGAAAAAGTTATGGGGGAAAAGACTCATCTGAGAAAAGACCTGGCTGGAAGTAGCCCTTCAGAACTTTTTTTCCTGCCATTAAATATGTATATTTATTTTGATTTATTCTCAAGAAGCACTTTATTTCCTTTTCCTTTCATAGATCACAAAAAATGAAGCCATCTTATTATAAGAGGTGCAGCCATTCCAAGAAAGAAACCATGGGGGGGTGGGATGTTTTCTGTTCTGCTTTTGTGTTTCTTTAAAGGAAAGAGGGATCCACGGCAAAGTTGAATTGACTGAAATTTAGACTTGGGCAACATACTTCTGCCTGTCTAGAAAGTCCAAGCACCCAGGTTGCTTGCTGTGTTTGTATACACCAAAAAAAAAAAAAAGAAGAGAAAAAAAAAAAAAGCAAAACCTGTTGTGACTCTGACTGCATTTTAGGCAGCTTTTTGTTGTTTTTATAGCCCATGTACACTTAAAAGTTACTTTCTAAATTAGTACTTTTTTTTTCCCCACCAAATGCAGTGAAGAAAACCCTGCCCAAACAAGCTGATATTTCAATGAGAATCAGCCTTCTGCATTTCAAGAGTCCATTAATCTATTTTAGATGGTTCCCACTGGTCTTTATTAGTAATGTAAATGATGCAAATGATTTGATCAATGATGCAAGAATTAGTTTTGCTGAGAATGGCTTTAATTACTGGATGGCTCAGAATCTCTGATTGTCTCTGCTCCAGGAGAAGAGCATAGACCAGCAGGGCCAAAACATAAAGAGCATGGGCTACGATCTATACTTTATTCCAAAAGGTAGCGCAGCTGGGATTCCCACTCCTGGGAAATGAGTGTCCTGGCATTGCCGTACCTGTTTTTAGAACCATGGGATTTGTTTTCAATTTAAGTGGACAAAATGCTTAAGTGACTGTTTGAAAGAAATGAATTGATAGCCTGTGCCTAATGACTTATGGTCTGCTGTTGGCCACCTCGGGGCTTTTAGAGATGTTTTCTGGTTCTGACCCGAGAATATATAGTGAACTCGCCCAGATTTCCCCCCTTCCCCAACTGCTCTTGTAGGATTTTCATTCAGGAAAAAAAAAAAAAGAAATTTACTGAAATTGGATCAATCCTAGTCTAGACTAAGCAAAGTGAACATCCGTTTTGCCTCTTACTGTGCAGGTGGCACTTTGATAGTGGCCATTTGACTTCTCTCCTGCAGCCCCCGAACCAACTATTTCCTTTGGCCATCATCTTTTGGTTCTCACTGGGTGAATATCATGAGGATCCAGTTCAGCGCAAGGACTCTGTAAACAAATGGCTTTCTTGCATTGTAGTGAACCTCCCCGCTCTCCCTCCCTCTTCTCCTTTCTCACTCAGGCCATCCATTTGTGATTGCTTGGTCGTGCAGACGTTCAAACAGAGCAGCAGGATGTCGATGTTGTATTGAGTGTCCATATGATTGCCACTTTGTTTGATGTACATCTTGCGTTCGTACGCATGGAAAGCGCTCGTTTGCACTTTCCCCCTCTACCTTCCCTCCCCCTTCCTTCTTTGCTGTATATATTGTCGATTAACTACTGTACCTAACAATTTCCATCCTCCATTAGGCTGCCGATGTCCTCTTACAGGCCCCAATAAATCAGAGATACACGCTCCCCGGCAGGCCATGCAGCAAGTAGCGCAGCCGCTGACAAGTGCAAGGGGACGGGTAGACCTGCAGAAGCAGCAGAGATTGTTGTGTTCAGAGTAACAATGTTGTCCTAAAGCTGCTAATTTTTGTACAGAGGATGTGGACATTCGGGTTCTTCTTGGGCCTGGTAAGAAACACTGGACCAGTTGATGGTAGTTTTGCCCAAAGTTACACCACTGGTTTTTTTTCTCACTTTTGCTAGACTTGCTGTGACGGCGAGAGCCCGATCTTCCCTACGCTCAAGTTTTATTGTCGACCTTGAGCGCAGCTCCTTCTCTTTTTGTTCTGCGCTGAGACTTCCGCAGTCTGTGTTCACCTAAGGGAGAAACCCAGGCCTTCCCCATTCGTGCAGTATTCACGTGCCAAATTTGTGCAATAACCTTCACCTTCAACATGAGATGCTTGTCGCAAGCCACACGCATTTGGGGTGGGGGGGAGGGATTGCGGAAAAAGTGGGTCCACAACAAAAAATCGAAGGAGCAAAACAAGTCTTAATGGAAAATGGCCTGGAAGCGGAGGAGCAGGGGCAAGTGCAGAGGCAGAGAGCGGCATCCTGCCATCCATCGTGCCACGGAGCCGGCAGCTCCTTTGTTCGCGGTCTGTGTGCTCGAGCTACGGTACGGCTCTCATAGACCATCCGCAGGCCTATAGAACCGGCAGCTTCCAGCACTGCTGGTGGTCCTGGTGTGCTCACCACTCTTGTCCACAGCGCTTCATCGTTTCCTAGTCTGGTGGTTGTGCTCTGATGACAGAGGGGCCCAGGGAAGAGAATGGTTGTTTAAACATATCAACATTTATAAACAAACTAGGTGACAGGAACATGCAGCAATTTATGTTTTTAAAAGTTCTTATGAAATTGACTTGATTTGCTGCTTTGGGGATTTTTTGCCTGAAATCAGGTCATTGGTACTGATCTTCTACAACATGGGGAGCCCCAGCTTCTCGAGTTGGTCTGCCCCTCTGCCTCTGTCATGACAATAAAACACAAAGTCATTTCTTGCCTTGGCAGCTCCAGTTTTGCTCCTTTTCCTGAAAAGATGAAAATTTTTTTGGGTTTGGTCTTTGGTTTGATTTTTTTTTTCCTCCCCACACGTGCTCACAAGAGTTGGAAAGCTTTTGCTCAGAGCACCTTGTGGGGAGGAGTCGGGTACCAGGTGATGCAGGAGGGCAGAAGGCGGAGATGGTTACCCTGCTCTGCCTAGTCCACTGCGGCGGGACAGGGCTCCCCGCTGGGGTCCCAGTCCACCGCACCATCGCCTCCTCGGCCGCGTCTCCGCTGCAGCCATCACCAGGGAAGGCTTTTCTCAGGCAGCTCTTTCTGGCCACCGCAACGGGGGAGAGCAGTCAAAGCTGTCCTGTCCATCCTGGCCTTTCTCTGTGAACCTTCAGTAACCACATCAGTGGATTTTTCTTTGGGTTTACCATTTAAGGGCTTTCCTTCCATCTTTGTACGTTTAAACAAAAATGTGAAAGTGACATTATGCTTGATCTTGGGGGTTTTGTCCCCTTTTAAGGTTTCAGTACTGCTTTTGTTGCCAGACACACTGCAAATGGATAACGACAGTCGCCTGCTTGCAAGTGTTTTTGCGGCCACTCAGAAAGGGGGTTGTGCGATCTACTTTTTGGTTTCATTGAGCAGGCTTTTCTATTATTTTTTTTTATTTTATTTTTTTTTAATGGAACTATTTTACTTAACTGTTGCCACTTCCTGGAGCCAAACACTAAAGGTCACCAAATTGGAAGCAGAAGTGCCATTAACTGAACTCTGTGAATGTCAAGTCAAGTTGCGCCTGTAGCTGGCACATAAGACAACACTATTTAAGTGGGGGGGTGATCTCCCCCACTGTAACTCTTTGGGGTTTTTTTATTTTCTTTTTTTTTTTTGTAAGAAAAATAAAATGACAAACCTCATTTTAAATGTATCGTGTAAAATGTTTTGGGAAAGGAGTGGGGTGTGTTATGTCTAGTGGGTGAGACCTCCCTCCCCATTTCAGTTTCTGATGAAGTTTTAAAGAATCGTGTTACTGTATGTTTTGATCATGAGTAGTCTGGTGGTGCTTCCTCATAGCACAAGCTTAAATCAAGTACTGAAAACAGTCTTACAAGCTAAATGTCTGCATGATGTTACATCTGTTGTACCTACTGAAAAGAACTTTGTATGTAAATGTACAGAATAAAATGACGTTGTCCCATCAGTTTGCTCTCCTTGGTCTGGCTCCCTCACAGCAACTTCCAAAACAGCCCAGCAGCAGCTAATGTCTGTGACGCTTCAGCAAACAGAATGAGCTGATTGTAAATCAGCCTAATTAAATCAGCACATTGATTTGCAACTAATTATCCTGTATAGTCAGTCACGGCCAGGGACCGGCAGCTCTTCCCACAGGTAAGGAAGGGCCCTCTGCGCCCACATCAAATCCGCAACATCGAAGCCGCTGGGCGTTCAAACCCTTTCGAACCAGAGACTCATCGGGGGTTGCACCTTCTACACCAGCAACCTCTCGCTTCCAGGTTTTAGTGGCTGATCACGGTGCCGCAGCAAGGTAAGTTCATCAGTTTTCTGTAGCTCACGAGGACAGTTGTCTGGCAGCAGCACTAGCAGCTTTTATTGTTACCAGAAACTTATGTCTGAGTCGGGGCTCAACATGCAATGCAAAAGGTGTAACCTGGAGCAGCTCATCTGGTTGCTATGCCTGGTGTTCCTCCAAATTGCTGTGAATAGTAGGTGGGGTGCCACAGCACATTATAGGCAGCTGCAAACAGTCACCGCGCCATCGGCTCTGTGGTTGGTTTGGGGGGGTTTTTTGGTATAGCGAACTGTTGGCTGCTTTTCTCATTGAACGAAGCAGCACATGGACCGTTCTTTGAAAGGATCCTATCCAAAAGCAAGTCCAGAGATGCAGCAGCAAGATGGCTTTGTGGTGGTGGTAGTGACTGCTGAGTTTTTCTAATGAGTTTGCTCAATTTACATACATGATGCTCTTCTAGCAGCCTGACAGATTTATCTGTTGCTCCAAAATTCAAGCTGTGCTTTTTCCTTCTACATAGCCCTCAAGGGATGTACAGAAACCCCTTTGTGAAACCCTTCTAGTATTCTCAGTGCCCAAGAGATG